CGCACCGTGATTGCAGCAATCATGAAACGAATTTCTTCTATTAATAACTTGTTCAGCTGCAAAATGTTTCGCATTACAATGGACACAGGAAACGTCCATAGAACCGATATAATATTCAACTACATATCACATAATGTGTTGTTAATATCTACATAAGGTTGTTTCCTTATACGTGATCGATAATTGGTATGTATTGCACGTCGTTGATTTAATGGATTATATGAAGTGTTTTGAACAACTTCATCACTCAATTCTATAACATAATTTTCACGTGAAGTACCAGCAACAGAAATCATTTGTTGATATTGTGATTCTATTTGGTGGCGTCGTCATTGATTTTCTCTTCTTCTCTCAAGACAATGTCGTCTAAATTCTTCTTCCTCCTCTGGGGTACGTTGAATTTTACGTCTCAGCATTTTATATAAGTAATGAAACAGAATATTATCATTAAAAGAACAATATTGTTGTGACCGAGTCACAATAAATCTGCCTGCGTTTTTAAGAAAGTTAAAGACTCGTTTGAAAAAATTACTTTATTTAAGCTGAATTGGTTTTTAAAATAAATTAGTTTAAAAAATATAATGATTTTTCTTTATTTAAATATAAACTTTAATTAAACTTTTATTATAATTTTATTATTATTAATATTATATTAATAATTAAAATAATTTATTATTATTATTAATATTATATAAATACCAATTTAATCATCTTCATCATCATCATCATTATCATCATCATTATCATCATCATTATCATCATCATTATCATCATCATTATCATCATCATTATCATCATCATTATCATCATAGTTATCATCATCATTATCATCATCATTATCATCATAGAATTGTCTTGCATTAATAAAAACCAATTAACACCAATAAACACCAATAAACACAAATTGAATTACTCAATACAATTTAACTAATTATGACAATTTATAAACAACGGATTACAATAAATTACATTTTTTTGATAAATACTAATTCACTATAATTTGAAATTAGCTTGTCTTCATATATGTCGCTATGTTCCTGAAATAAAAATAAAAAGCGTTAATAAGTATGTGTACAAGACATTCGGCAATTTTTTAC